GCTTTAAAAAAGTTTTAACATAATATATTTATTATCCATGAATTTGAAGTAAACTAAACTTTGCAATCAAACGTTTAAAAGATGTTTTTAATAGCAGAGAACCAGTCTGATTTTTCAACAAAAATATTTACATATTTTTCTACTGACTATGTTTCAGTCTTCATGCATGCTTACCATAAGTTTTAGGCCCAGCAACTTGTAGAGTTCAGTATGAGTTTTCTACTTCACTTTGCGAAGTACCATGAGCTATCACCATACTAACCACGATCCCAGAGGAGTAGCAGGTAAGGTGCAATTTTGAAATATTAAGAACAGTGTGGTCAGTGTGCAAAGAAATTGCTAGCATAGTTTTGACTTAGAACAGCAATAAGTACAAATATGACTTCAGAAACAAAATACTTACAAATTTTAATTTGTGGTAAGATTAAAGTTCAGAAATTTGCTGTGCAAATGCCTGTACACAGAGCATGTTGACCACAATTCAGGACCCACAGCAAACACTCTGTGACTTTGCCACTGGTATGCAGACCCCTGCCAGGGTTAGGTGGAACCCCTGACTCCACCACCCAACCTGTCTCAGTCACCTCACCCATCTCAATGATCTCACCCCACCACTTGTGATTGCCTGGAATTCCATAATTGTTATCTAGGAATTCCTCTCTTTACTTTCCATGAAATTCCCACATGCTTTCTGGGAAATTCCCCTTCTGCTTTCTAGGAGTGCCCATCCCCACCGCGAAATGTGCTTTGTAGGAATTTACCTCGTTCTTTCTAGGAATGCACTCCACTACTTTCCAGGACTATCCTTCTGCTTGCTAGGCATTAACCTTCCGCTTTCTAGGAAATTTTCCATGTGTCCATAATTTTGCACATGATTTTTGGGAATTGCCCCTTTATTTTATAGGACGTGTTCATGTGCTTTCTGGGAATTCACACCCCGGCTTTCTAGGAATTTCCTATGTGCTTTCTAGAATCTCCCTTTGGCTTTCTAGGAATTCTCTGGGTGCTTTCTACCTTTGCAGGTGTTCTCCACACACACCCCACCCTGCTCTCCTCCTTTTTCTACCTTCTACTTTTTAGGATTCCTCCTGTGCTTTCCAAGAATACCCTCTCCACATATAGGCATTCCCACTGTCCTTTTCAGGAAATCTCCCCATTGCTCTGCAGGTGTTTCCCCCATGTGCTTTCTAGGAAATCCCCCTCTGCTTTCTAGGAATTCTGTCCCTACTTTCCAGGAATTTACCTTGTGCTTCCTAGGAAATTCCTGTGCGGCTTCCCAGTTTCCCACCTGCTTTCCCAAATGCTTTCTAATAACTCCCCCCTCTGCTTTCTATGCATTCCCCCTACTGATTTCCAGGAATTTCTCATGTGCTTTCTAAGAAACCCCTCTTGGCTGTGTAGGCCTCCCTCTGCTTTCTAGGAAATTTTCCATTCACTTTTTCCAGGAAGTTTTCCATATGCTTACTAAGAAATCCCACCTCTACTTTGTAGGAACCCTCCCCACTGCTCTCCAGGAACTACCCTCAAGCTTGCCAGCAAATCCCCTCCATTTTCTAGGAAATCTCTCTTCTGCTTTCCAGGAATTTACCTTGTGCTTTCTAGGAAACTTTCTACGTGCTTTCTAGGAAGTCCCCCCCTTGTTTCATAGGAATTTTCCCCTTTATTTTTCACATATTTATCTCAGGTATCTGAAATTATGTTGGTTCCAAAATGTTTTGCCGAGTAGGACACTTTGTCTTTGCCAGAGGTACTACAAAGCTTGTGAAGGAAGCAGGAGGGGGAAGCAAATTCTTAAATTGCAGCAGCTGATGGAATAATCTGCAGCGGATGGAAATCAAACACAGAGAAATGCTTGGCTTGCCTCATCCGCTGTCGAACAAATACCCACTGACTTCTCTGGTCAATCTGGGATAATAATGACTCTGCTAACAATTCAGCTACCGAGACAGTGAGTGGATAGTCACTGTATAAATGCTAGTGGTATATAAAACAAACCAACCAACCAAAAAAAGAAAACCACCTTCCATGATGCCTATGGCTTGGGAATTGCAAAAACTGTCTGTAATTGAGAATTTACATATTAAAAACTGTTCTTAATAAAGTAGCACTCCCTGAATGTTATACTGAAAAAACCAAGCATGTTTCACATAAAAAGAGTATCATTTAATCAAACTTTCTCATGCATTTTCATAAAACTTCTATGAGATCTAAAAGTGGATACTGTTTAGATGCCAGCAATGAAATAGCCAACTAGAGAGCTACTACAAGTTCAATTGCTAGGGGTAATAAAGGTGACTATCCAATATAATCTGGTAGTGCTCTTGCAGTATCACAAATATCTATGTCTACACATCTCTAATTTCCTTGTTGAGACATTGTGTGTCCTCCTATTAACCATAATTTCCACATAATTCACAAAATCAAATAATTGGTTGTATATTCAGATATGACTAATTTAGGATGATAGTTACTTTATACACATTTATATGAATATAAAGAAATGTATATGTAGAAATTCTACTTGAAAGGGGACCCATTTATGTTAATATCCAAAATGATGGATTTTATTCTGAAATTTCAGTTTCAGTGCTTTTTTCAATTTTCTTTTCAGATATACATATAACTCCTCCAACAAAAGCTTTTAAAGTTTTCAACCGAACAATTTTAAAGTCTACAATATTAAAGAAGGGACTAGGATACAAGGTAAATATGTCTGCATCAATGTGTTAACTACTGCAGGAATGATAGGAAAAGAGACTCTGTACATCTATGAGAATGAACTATGGAGAAATTAAAGACAATCAACTTTAAATCCAACTTCTGCCTAAATTTTTTCACCTCTATCATTAGTATAGTATTACCATTTACACACTATTATATAGCTGAAGAGTACCATATTTGAAAGACATCAGGGGTACAGTGGGTGGTAGGAAAAACAGAAAATTGCCCACCGCATGCAAACTCTGACTCCTAAAACAAAAGCTTGATTTTCAAAATATGATGAACATCCAAATTTCATTAACTTCGACTGAATGTGTTGAAGCATTCCCAGTATTTCTAATAATCAAGTTAGTTGTACTTAGAGTACTATTCAACAGAGCTGTAAAGCATGTGAATAGTACATGAGGTCAATTCTTCAGGGGTTGAGTCAACGAATAATCCTAATTCAGAACGTATTCACTGACCACGGGATGGACTAACTAATTGGGTATCATCTGATTATTTCCGACATGGATTTAATAGAGTTTTACTTACTTCTTTAACTTTACTTTTTTCCCTACATACTTACCCAGACCTAAATCCTTAGACTAATTTATAACTTTACAGCCTATAAACATAATCTAACATATGTTAGGTTACTTGTAGGACTAATAAGCCCTTTAGAGCATACGTTTCTTCATCAGTTTATACAGTGGTAAGAAAATATATCTATTGGGTGTGCAGACAAACCTTCTGCATGAATTTGACTCAACCTTAAGAATTAAGAATTAAGAATTAAGGCATGATATCACCAGATAAATATCACTACAAACCACTACATCATTTCAAAACATTACATAATTGATCCCATTTATTATATTACCTTGAGGTAAAACAATCATGCTAAATGTCTAAAAATATAAACAGTTTTTAAAAGTTCAATATTTTAAGTTAATTTATTAAACATGACTTCCAATGAATGGATTCTTTTAAACAGTGAAAAGCTTCTGCTGTGGAATTGCTGTCGTGCCTACCTGGTGTAACTACCCCTCTGTGTTTTCATGAATTTCTTGGAAC